CTGAACGTAAAGCGGGCCGTTACTTAATGCCCTGCGTTCGGTGAGGGTGGTCTGACTCATGCCAGCCGTAACACCTGAAGTTGAAGCCCCAACAAATGAATGCTTGGCATTAAGATGATATCTAAGGCTCGAGGTGCTTCGGTGAAACGAAAAGTCCTTCTTGCAGTCTGAATAAACCAGAACAAGTTTATTTATTGTCCTGTCTTTGTTTTTTTTTATATTCAAACTGTCCATCCAGCGGGCCAACGGGTTCTTCTGATTCCTCCATCTCGCTCATGTCGGACAATTGAATTGTGGAAATTGCTGGACTGCGTTAATGCGTTAAAAAAATATTGCGTTAATTTCAGAAATTAATCACCCTAACATATATATATATATATATATATATATATATATATATGTATATATATATATATATATACATATATATACATTATTTGCTTAAAATTGCCTAGTTTACAGCGTAGTCTGAGGCCGTAAATGGACGCATTTTTATTTATTATATTTTATTTGTTTAGTTGCGTCAGATACAGGAGTGTGCCCTGCAACCAGAGGCTTCAGCTTTCAGTGTCATTGTGCCCTTTGGCAAGACACTTCACCTGCATTGTCTACTGATGGTGCTTGGACTAGTGGCACCAGTGTACAGCAGCCCACTTTCTGTCAATGAGCCCCAGGGCAACTGTGGCTGCAATGTGCAGTAGCTTGCCACCATCATGGTGTGAGTGGATAGTTGAATGACTTAATAGTGTAAATCGCTTTGGTCAAGTGTTCTGTTTTGAAAAAGAGCTATAAAAGCCAAGGCCATTTACCATTTTTAATGCTCATTCTTTTGTCGATTCAAGTTTTTTTCAGTTTCAGTTGTATCCAATAGCGAAACCAGAACAGCATTAAATTAATCAGATGTTTGTAACAAAAAAGGCGGAGCAGGCTTTGAAAGCTAAACACAATAATGACAAACCACTGGAGGAGACCAGTGCATACAGCAGCGATGTGCATCAACCACAAACCGCACATTACTGGATTTGATCTCAGCTAACTGATGCATATTTCTGCTACATTTCATGGCAAAGGTGCCTCTTTCACTTTATTTAGATGAAATAGAATCCCAGAGAAAACGGGGACCATCTGCATTGCCTTGTACCTCAGGGAATCCTAAGGAGAGTTGGTTATGCTTTACCCAATTCTTCCTTCTGAGTGCTACACCTGTGCTCATTGAACTGAAAGAAATAGGCAGAGTTAGGGAAATTAGCAAAAAAATATAAATATAAAACAAAGCTAAAGAGTTGTTCTAAAGGCAATCTTCCCTAAACCTGGGGAGCTTCAAAATCTCTAGAATCAGTCAGAGCCAATCAGGAAACAGCCTGCTCACCTGTCTTTGAACTCCTGCATAGTTTGTTCACTTTGGTCAAACAGCTTCCAGAACTGCTCCTATCATATTTTCTTATTCTTCTCCTTCACTGAAATGAGGTGGACACATTCCAGATACACTGACCTTCATTTTCCATTGAAATGCTAAGTGATAATCCACCCTGCTCATAACTTCCCTGATCTCCTTTTTTTTCAGCACTGCCTTCTCTGCATGCTGCTGAAAGGCTTGAAGAAAGTCATGGATTTTCAAATTTATCTCGGAGCCACAGATGAATAGAGTACCAGAGCTTCTTGATTTGCTCAGAGCAACAATTGACAGACTCCAGACTTTACCTTGGCCATTTTATTTGCCAGAAACTAAATCATGTCAACAGCAGGGAAAAAAAAACAAGTGCAGAGTTCTGAAACTAATTCTTGGTTTATTGAGAAAATGTGACTCCTTCATAGTGAAGTCACTAGTTAGATCGCTTTAAATGATGTTAATGCGTTCATTAGAGTCAGGACTTGACCCCTCATCCCTTCTCCTCAACCATCATGTCTTAGAAACCTCCCGGCCTTTTCGTTTTATCCCTGAGAGGTTTGCTGATTAAAAGCATGGTTCTTTCCTGGAATCTTTTATTGATCTGGACTGTTTTGGGTCAGCTGTAATTTCACAGGTGTTTGCAAAAGCATATCAGATTATGGACACTGTGATCCCGAGCCAATCACAAGACAGACAGCGGGTCAAAGAAGTCCAACTGTCCCACAAATTACAGGCAACGCTGATGAAAAACAAAAAACAATGACATCCTGGTTCGATTAAAGTAGCAGACTAGAATTTAGAAACCCAAAAGTTTAATTCCCTAATTATATTTTTAAAAACATTAATCTCCCAATTCAGCTGGGTTTTTCTTCTCATCATGAAGTCAGAGCCCTTTGCCTAAATTCCTCCTGAGGATCTCTGATATTTTGAGCCATTTTCTCCACCGCATACATGTTGAGCTAACCTAAGACATTTGAAAAATATTTCCTGTCTATGTTTTTCATAATAAACTTGTTCAGAAACCACCAAGAGCAAGAAGGGAGAACTAATGCTTACATTGAACCACATGTAAACACTGAAACCAGCCAAATTAGGACATTCCAGGCATTACTGCAGATGGGCGTAATCTCCATGATGTTTTTTTTTAAAACAAAGCTATGATCCATGTAACTTTATTACAAAATGCTACATTTCCACGTAAACTGTCCTGACCTGAGAGAACTGGAGAAGGGATAAAAGGAGGTAGCTGTTTGGCCAGAGTAC